GTAGCTGATAGCTAGAACATTTCAAACTCCCTACATGGTCTTAGACCCAGGATTCCTTTACCTAATTCCATACTCACGTGGCATTATCATTGTATGGTGTCTGATCAACCCATTCCCAGTGTCTCTGACCCTCTGGATCTGACAGCCCCACAAAATAAGCAAAATTTTTATTCAGATTCTGGATGATGAAATCCTAAGACAAAAAAAAGAAAGGAGTCATAGCCTTCAAGTGCTTGGCCTAAACTGAGTTTTTCATGACTTTAGGGAAATGAGATAAAAAGAAGACAATCCTGGCTAAGCAGGGCAAGACAAAAGTTATCACTTGTAAGCATGATGTTCAATATATATATGGGAAGTGATTTCTACCTATGATCATAACAAATTCTCATCTCAGACCGATTTCCCCTCTTATCTTCACTAAGCGATGCCATTCTTCAAAATTGTGCATGAGAAAATTTGGGTAAATTTAATCATTTTCCTTTCATAACTTCAGAGATTCTTTCATTTCATTCCTGATTGTTGATTATGATTGCTGATGATTTAACTTCATTTCCCTATTCAGCTAAATACCTCTTCTCTGTTAAGTAGTTAATGATGTATAAAAATTTACATATTAAAATAACAAACTGATAGTTCAGGATGAAACATTTTCACTGTTCATTTCTACCCTTGTTGTATGTTATATTTTTAATGACACGTTCTTTGGGGGAGGTCAGATTTCTAGAAGCAGGAAAGAAGGTAAGGAATGTAAAGACTTAGGAGGCTTTCCTATCTATTTTATTGAAAGCCTTCTGCCACAACACAATATCCCCAAACAACAAAGACCTCCTTCTTATTCAAGGGAGACATACAAAAGCAGGGAGAGCTCATGACTCCATTATCTGTTGGGAAATACCTGCTCTTCCTTGGTGTTGATCACCAGCAAGTGAGCCCGCATTTCAGAGCAGTTCTTCTGACTTTCATTCCAAGATCTTAGTTCAGTAGAAATAAAGTAGCATTTGGAACTAAATGACATCCACCTCTTTGGACAACAGCTCCAGACTTTCTCTGTATTGGGAAGAGGGGCATATAAGTACAATATAAGTAATCACTTTTAAAAGTGTGTGTATTATTAAAATTAAGGACTAAAGGAGATCACATGAAAGAGGGACCTCCCATCCTCACCCAGGTGTAATAAGGATCACCCTGTCCCCAAGGGGTCAATGAAGCCAAGTCTACTTCCATTAGGCAAAAATGGGGTAGGGTTTCCTCTCTCCCACTGGAATGGTATCAGGAAAAGTCAGATAAAACAATGTTTAAGTAAGGACCAGACTCTGAAAACATAATACAAAAACATCCAGGGTCAAAAGAAAATATTATACCAAGAAACAGGAAATTCCCAAATTTAATAATAAATGATAATCAATAGATGCCAACTACCAAGATAACACTAATGTTACAATTATCTGACAAAGTTTTTATTTTTCTTTTGAGACAGAGCCTTAAGCTGTCACCCTGGGTAGAGTGAGATGGCATCATAGCGCACAGCAACCTCCAACTCCTGAGCTCAAGCGATTCTCCTACCTCCACCTCCCAAGTAGCTGGGACTACAGGTGCCCACCACAATGCCTGGCTATTTTTTGTTTTCATCTGTCTTTGTTGTTTGGTAAGCCTGGGCTGGATTTGAACCTGCCAGCTCAGATGTATGTGGTTGGCACTTTAGCCACTTGAGCCACAGGTGCTGAGCCTATCTGAGAAAGATTTTAAAGCAGCGCTTGACACCTGTAGCTCAGAGGTTAGGGATCCCACAACCAGGGCTGGCAGTTTGAACCTGGTCCAGGCCTGCCAAACAACAATGACAACTACAACAAAAAAAATAGCCAGGTGTTGTGGTGGGCACCTTTAGTCCCAGCTACTTAGGAGGCTGAGGCAAGAGAATTGCTTAAGCCCAAGAGTTTGAGGTTGCTATGAGCTGAGATACCACAGCACTCTACCTAGGGTGACAGCTTGGGAGTCTGTCTCAAAATATACATATATATATATAAAATCCAATGCTAACAGTACTGCAAATTATCATGGGGGGGGGTATTGGGCAAAGTTTTCAATTAGCAATAATGGTGACTTATATAAATCTTATTGGCTATGATACTGCCACTGGGCAATGCTCTGGAAACATTTTTAAATGAGATTTACATTTAAATTGTTGTCGTTTGAGTAAGGCAGATGCCCTCTGTAATGTAAATAGACCTCATCTAATCAGTTGAAGATCTGAATGGAGGACTTCCTCTGAACAGGAGGAAATTCTCCCACATAATAATCAGGGATACTGTGTATACCAAGGAGCAGAGCCTTTGGCCCTCATCTGAAAAGTTGACTCCTTCTAGTTCTGTAGCAGTCTTTTCTTTGGACTCAAACTACAACTCTTTCCTGAGTCTCCACACTGCCAGCTGCCACCCCCACCCCCACCCCCATCCCCCAGCATCGATTGTGAACTTCTCAAGCTGTTACAATTATATGACTCAGTTCCTTAAAAATAAATATTCTATACATTCTATTGACTTTATTTCTCTGTGAAGCCCTAACACAATACTCTATCATAATAGATAGCAAGCACAAGTCCACCATTCTTAAGTGTCAGCTATGCAAAGAAATTAGTATGGGAAGGGGAGAGAAAAGAGGAATTTTATAGTGGAGAAAGAGAAACCTGGGAAACAATGTTAGACAGGCAATTAAGATCAAGGTTGATAGTCTGAAATCATTTGGACAGTATATACTCTTAATATGATGTGATGGAAGTAGCATTTTATATCTGTGGTCTTCCTCACAAAAACCAATAACCCCATGTTAAGTCTTAGAAAAACATCAGATAAATTCTAGTAGGTAGACATCCTCTAATATGCCTGACCAGTATTCCTCAAACTGTCAGGGTCATCAAAAACAAGGTACATCTGAGAAACTATCACAGCCAAGAGGAAGCCAAAGAGACATGACCATGTCGTGTGGCACTCTGGGTGGGATCCTGTTACAGGAAATGAACATTAGGTGAAAGCTAAAGAAATCTGAATAAGTTGTGAGCTCTAATTAATAATGATATATAAATATAATCTCATTAGTTGAAAGAAATGTACCATACTTATATATTAATAATTGGGGATACTGCTGGCATGGTGGCCTATGCCTGTAATACCAGCATTAGGGAGGTGGAGGTGGGTGGATTGCCTAAGCTCATGAGTTTGAGACCAGCCTGAGCCAGAGTGAGACCACGTCTCTGAAAAATAGCTGGGCATTGTGGTGGGCATCTATAGTTCTAGCTGCTTGGGAGGCTGAGGCAAGAGGATCCCTTAAGCTCAAGAGTTTGAGGTTGCTGTGAGCTAAGCTGCCACAGCACCCTACCAAAGGTGACCAAGTGAGACTCTGTCTCAAAGATAATAATATTAATCAGGAATACTGTGTATGCCAAGGAGGGGAGAAATAGTATCTCTTTGCATTATCTGTTCAATTTTTCTATAAATATAAAACTATTTCTAAATTAATCTACTCATTTTGAAAATTTAAATAATTCACATCCATATTAAAATCATCATTATCACATTTTTTTATCGAATGCATTTAACTGATATGTGAAAAAAGAGCATTTGTGCACAGAAAGTTTAGAAAGAAACAAAGGCAGAAGAAATTGTGAAGCAAGGCAATTCTTCTACAATCAAGCCTCTATTTCCTTGCATAGATAAAAATAAACAGATGAGAATTTTATGTCCTATACATTTTCACATTTATAGCTTAAAATGATCATGAGCGTCAACTTGTTAGTGTGATCTACCCAGGAATCTGACTGGAAATACTGATTTGGGATCCTTACATAGTAGAGTCAGCAACTGAATTCTGGGTACATTCATTTTTACCTGTGATGGTCAAATTATTTTTCACACACTCCAGTGTTGTATGAATCATCTCCTTTGTAGCAGTTTTTCCTTCAGGAAGCTGAGAACATGTTTCAAAGAAAACTAGAAAAGAGAATAAAGGCCATTTATTTTCCTTGCACCATTGTAGCTTTGCTCTCTATTGTTACTTTCTTTCATTCTTTATAGAAGCAAAATCTTTGTACAAATGACCAATTACATGAGTAGATGGGTCTTGACAGGAAATGATTTCCCACTTGGAAACCATAGATATCTCCAGGAATAGCTGAGAGATCAGCAGATGACAGAAGACACGGCAGTTTCATCATAAGGGGTCTGAAGGGGCATCTTCTTATTCAATACTTACTGTGAGATGGGAGCAGAGCTAAGCCTTGGGAGAAGAAAGGAGGAAGGAGGGCAGATATACACTGCATTCAAGGATGTGCACAGCTTGGGACTGTGCAGGGGGTCGGGTAGAGAAGAATGAGCTAATTCTGAGTTCTTGGTTATTCTGGTGAATGGAGAATTTAAAAAAGAACCCATCACGGATCAAGAGAACATAATTATCTTCTTTCCTTTATTCTCTCCATTCTAACTGGCTCCTACTCTTTGGCACAACAAAATTCTCATTTCTCTCTCAATTTAAAGCAAACCCATCTCTTCCTGTAGAAAATGAACATTCTTTCTTTCCTCCCTACCTTTCATTTGTTCAGACCTCTCTCACTTTGAATGTCACTCCCATGGAGGTAGCAGGTTATGCTGTGGGGATATATGACATCACTCAGAATTTAGTAATAGAAGGAGGCATAAAGGTGGAGCGTTGGGAAATGTGACATTTCAAAAGAGGAGGATGGAAGAAGAGGAGCTTATTAAAGAGAGAATGAAGCAAAAAGAAAAGGCAAACATAGCAAAGGGTAGTGTCCTAAGAACTAAGGGGGAAGAGAGGTGTAGTCAGATAGGAAGATGACTGATAAGTGGGCCTGGGATGTTACTGATAATCCTTAAAGAGAGAATGAAGCAAAAAAGAAAAGGCAAACATAGCAAAGGGTAGTGTCCTAAGAACTAAGGGGGAAGAGAGCTATGGTCAGATAGGAAGATGACTGATAAGTGGGCCCGGGGTGTTACTGACAATCCTTCTCGAGAATGGTATTGTGAAGTAGAGGAAGCCAAAGTCAGCATGTGATGGGTCAAGGAACAAATCACCATTACGAAAGAAAACCCACAATCTTTATAGTGGCACATAGCACTCTCTCTTCAGGACCTGAGTTCTGTTTATTTCTCCCACCTACAACTTCATTTCAAAGTCCTCCTGGCACTGTATGTTCCAGTCATGCATCCTTACAGTTCCCCAAATTCTGTGCTCTCTCATATCTCTCTGTCATTCTTGGTTGACACAGCTCTAAATGTCACCTCCTGGGCTTACTTCTTACCTGCACAACACTTCCCATACAATGTGGCAACCACTGGTTATTTAACTGCTCTCCAAATTTCTTGAGACCAGGAGCTGGGTCTGTCTGAACTTCGTCTGGCACTGGGCCTAACATATAGAAGATGGCCATTTCTACTTATTGAATGGCCAAATGAATGAATAAAATACCCAAATATATACCAGTTCTATGCCTTTGAAAATTTGGTAAGTTCTAAAACTCAAAGATATGCAGAAATTACCTATTTTGCTAAATTAGCTTTTAGATCTCACACAGTCTCGGGTGGGACACAAATAATTAGAGTGAATTTCAGTAGAGAATTCTTCTCAAAATATTGTTCCCATATCCTACTTGTCCACCTGCTCATGTCAAATATAAGTGTGCACTCAAACTGGACTGGCCTGCTGATACACTGCTATGGATATATAAATTTGTCCTGACTTACACAGTTTCTAGTACAGAAACCCTAAAGGTGTCAGTTGATCACACACACACACACACACACACACA